TGGGCCACGCCAGCACGGGCCACGCCAGCACGGGCCACGCACGAGCACCACGTGACTCGCCATCTGACCTCTTGGCGTGGAGCCCGCCCTGTGCCACATTGGACATTGACAGCGGCAGGCAACAAAGATGTTCCCCCAGGCCTGGGAAATCAGGGTGAACCTGGATCAGGACGACCAAGGACAACCGACTCTGGAGTCACGACGAGACCAAGGCACCCCAATTTTGGGGGATCGCCTGTAGTTAACCATCTTCGTTTAGTTCACCAGGGAAAGGCCAGCTTGAGGTGAGACGCCAGGACAGGTTTCAGGGTAAAACACCCCGTCTCTCGGGCTGCCCACTCCCGACAGCGGTCCGAGATACACGTGCAGTTCCTGCCGCGGCCTCTGACGGTGACAGGCCGCCCGACCAACGTTATCCGGTGACACGGGCACTGGGAAGGAAGCTGGGGGTGTCTGCGCTATTTCCTACCACCGCATGTCATGGGACCCAGAGTGTGATATACATAGAATGTAGCTGTACGTTGACCTCAAAATAAAGATTGAAACGAGAAGATGAGAGAGAAGAGAGGCACTGAGCCCCGGAGGGGATCCCCGGCCCACCCCCCCCCCCCCGGAGTTGCCCCCCAGGGGGCTGGGGCTGCCGCTGGGCTGGGGCGCCTGTCCCGCTCCCTAGCGCCCCCTCCTGGCCCCACCCGTACCCCAGCTCAGCACAGAAACAGCGCCGCGGGGACTGGCCTCGGCCCCCCAGACCAGAGGCTGAGAGGCAGGGGCCGGGGAGCAGGTGGGCACAGAGGGTGAGGCCACGCGCAACTGGACAGACTCGGAGCCGGAGCCGAGCCTTCGCTCTGGGACAGGCAAGTCCCCTGACACCCCTGTGTCCTGGGGGGCCCCTGCGTCCTGGGGGACCACGCCTCAGGGCTCTGGCTTGGGACCCAGGCTGCTAGAGGCCCTGGTTCAGGAGGGCCCCAAGCGGCCATCTGTGTTACCGCAGACTGGAGGTGGACACTCCTCCTCCTGGCCCTGGCTTTTGTGGCCACCACAGTCCTGTGGGCACCCAGCCCCCCACCCATACTTCTGGCCTGAGGGGGGAAACGGGTGCAGGCAGTGAGGGCCCCCTTCTGCCTCCCTTGCTCCCTCCCCAGTGGGTGTCAGCCCCTCCAGGCCCCTGAGGGGCCCGGTGACCTCGTCTCTGGGGCTGAGTCGATGAATCAGGGGTGACCTGGTGGACTGGCCCCGACCATCACCCCGCTTCCCAGGAATTTGCCTTGGGACACTGTCCTGTTCTTCCCCTGTCCTCCCCCAGTCCCAGGAAACCCCCTGGTAGCCCAGGCTTCTTCCCAGGCTGGCCAGGGCGCCTGGGGGACCCGCAGCCCCAGGAAGCTGACTGTCCCCCTGCGAATCTTGCCTTTCCTCGGCCCCCGGAGGCCTTGAGTGGGAGGTCTGGAGGACGGTGTGGGAAGCCCGTAGCTGGAGACCCCAGGCTGCCGCTCCTTTGAGGGGCGCCCGGGGCATGAGCGGCCCGCAGGCCTGAGCTTCTGCTTCTACCAAGGGGGATACCCGAGTGTCGTGCTCACTGCATCACTCCCACCCCCAGAACTCACAGCGTGACCCCGCGTGGCGAAAGGGGTGTCCCGGATGGGGTGAAGTGAAGGATGGAGAGCTGGGGGACTCCGGGGTGCCCGGGTGGACATGCTGTCCTCACAGAGGCCCGCGGCAGAGGAAGGGGGACCGGGCAGGGTCAGAGAGGGGGAACAGGGGAAAGGGGAGGCCAAGAGATGCTGGAAGACGCTGCAGACGTCGGCCCAGAGGAGGCCCCAAGCCGGGGCCTGTGGGCCCAGACGCTGAGGCAAGGGGAGACCGCTCCAGGGCATCCCCGTCCTCCGTCCCCCGCCTCATGCGGAGGCGCACAGCAGCCTCAAGGGGAGCCCAGTGCGGCTCCCACTTACAGACAGGAATAGGCTGGAGCGGGTGAGGCCACTTGGGGGCCGAGGCGGGGCTGGGGTTACCCAGCAGGTGGGATGGGGTGTCCAGCAGAGTCAGCACCCTCATGGCCCGGGTGCACCTGAGAACCAGCCCTCAAACCAGCCAGATGGAGCGGAAGAGACACAGGTTCTTCCCAAGGCGCTGAGGGGCCTGGGGGCCGGGGTCCCTGAGGGTGGACAGCAGGACCTGGGCTCCAGGGTGCACTCCCGGGCCCCCCGGAGGCCTGGGCCTCTCGGCGGGCAGCCTTGGCGCGGCGTTCAGCATTCTGGAGAGCCCCGGTCTCCCGGGCAGCCTGCCCTCAGGACCCCGTGACTGGCTCGACCCGTGACGGGCACGGAGCCACTGGCTGGGAACGGCAGGGGCCCGGGAGGCCCCCAGAGGACGCAACAAGCCGCCTTCGGAGCCCCCTCGGCCTCTCCCCACCCCCCCCCACAGGAAGGCGAGAGCTGAGGCGCCCTCTCCCCTCGCTCGCGGCCCCCCTCTTCCTGCCGACCAGCGCCCTGAGGTGCCCGGGAGAGAGGCTCGGCCAAGGGCCCGCGGGTGCTGGGCTGCCCCTCCGGCCCCCCGAGAAGGGGCAGCGACCTTCCCTCAGGGCCTCTCAGCCCTGGCCAGACCCCTGCATCCTGAGCTGGGGTGGGGGCGCCGGGTCTCGGGGCTCAGAGGAGGCTTCTGTGGCCGGGAGGCGCCGCACGAGGCGGCAGACAGGCCAGGCGGCGTCCAGACATGGCAGCAGCCAGCCCGAAGGCCCAGAGGTGTGGACCGGGGGCGACCCAGCTCTGAGCTGCTCTCGGGCTTGGGGCTATTGAAGGACTCGCAGGGCGTTCGGCTGCAGAGGCCTGAGCGCCACTGGGGGGAGCTGGAATTTGGGCCCACAGCTGAGGCGCCATGGCAGGTGGCAGGCAGGCAAGGGGATGTGGCACAGATCTGCTGTCGGGGAGCGGGGACAGCGGCCGCTGGCGTCCTGGGAGCGGGGACAGCGGCCGCTGGCGTCCTGGGAGCGGGGACAGCGGCCGCTGGCGTCCTGGGAGAGACAGGACGGTCGCCGAGGAGGCACATGGACAGCAGGGCAGCGAGGAGAGGGGCGGCCCGGGCTGGGGCCTGCATGAGGGTCGGGGGCAGTGCTGGGCACAGCCCGGGCACCTGAGCTCCACGTGCCTCGTACTGGGCACAATGCAGCCCCGGGGTCCCCGCCCCACGGTCCCAGCACCCCCCAGGAGGAGCCGGGAAGGGGGAGGAGGCACCACTCCGGCTGGCGGGCACTGCCCTTCCCGCCAGTCCGCAAGGCTGCACCCTTCATGCCCTGGGCGTCCCCGCAAGCACCCCGGCCGCTCACATCTGACCCTCCCCGCCTCCCCTGCTACACCTCAGGTCCAGGAGCGGCGCCGTGCCGCGTGCTGAGTGGGGGCGGGAGCCGCTGAGACAGGCTGGGCTGAGCTAGGGGCGTGGGGGCCAGCAAGGGGAGGGGTGGCTGACTCTGGGGGGCAGGAAGAGCGCGGGTTCGGGGACTCGAGAAAGCGGACGAGTGCCACGCCGCGGAGCATAATCCGAAGGGTATTTTACCACGCCCACGCCCAGGGCCTTGCGCTCTGCCCCCATGAGAACTGGGGTTCGGTCTCCCTTAGTAAGCGGCTGCTGCGTGGATGGAAGAGGGGGCTGGTCCCCAGGAGTGGGAGCGGGACCGAGGCGGGCAGTGTGGGGCCTGCAGCCCACAGCTGCTGTGTCCAGGAACCGTGCTTCTGGGGCGGCTCTAACCGCGCTGGGCCTGTGTTTGGCCATGCCGGAGGTTTTCGGTTGTTGTGAACTAGGTGGAAAGGGAAGGTGCTGCAGGGGGCCAGCAGGAGGAGGCCGGGGTCCCGCTGAATGTCCTGCAAACAAAGCAGAGGACAGCGCCTCCACCCCGGGGCTTGCGTGGCCCCGGCGAACAGAGCCAAGAGGGAAACGCTGCTCCGGAGACTCCTCCTCCAGGAAGCCCTCCCGGATGGACACACCTGCGGCCCTCCTGCGCCCACACACACACCCTTCGCTTCTCCCCAGCGCAGCCCCGGGAGAGGCCGAATAGCGGGGGGAGCCAGGGGCGGGGCGGGCGGTCAGGGAGGCCAGGTCCCCTCAGCACATTTGCAGTGTCCAGTGCCGAGGGCCTGTGTTTAGGGGTGGGTGCGGCGCCCAGCGGCCCGCAGCACAGGTTCGGGGTGGGCGTCAGGGCAGCGCTGCAGGTGGTCGGGGTTCATTCGGGGCCTGGGTGGGTCCTGCCTGGGCATCGCTTAGGCTCACAGTGGACCCCCATTTGCTCTCTCTGAGTCGGCGTCCGGGACTGGCCACGCTCAGGCTCAGGACCCCACGCCTGAAAGCAGAACCGTCACCCTCAGGCCGGAGCCCACATCACACGGTTTCCTGTTTATCCCCCAAAGGGAGCAGGGGACGTGGGCCGAGACCACAGAGGGGAAGAGGGAGGGGCACCACCTGGCGGGACCAGGGCCCCGAGCCCCGAGCCGGGGCTTCACACGGTGCACGCCGCCGAGGCCCCCTCGGGCAGGGGCTCAGCAGGCCGGCTCGGGGCGGCCCTGGACCGGGCAGGCCCCCGGTCCACTCCCACCTCATCTGGCCCCGCCTGGTCTCCACGGCCCAGCACCGAGCTTGCACGCATCCTCCTTGTCCGCCATTTGTCCACCTCACTAGCACAGCTCCCAGTCCAGTCAGTCACCCCTGCTCACCCCTGTGCACCCACAGCCGCTCCGAGCCCCAGACCCCACCCCAGGCCCTGGCTCGCCGGCCCTCCGGCTTCTCCCCAGCCCCACAGCAACAACACCCTCTGTGGGGGCCTCAGGCGGAGGACACACTGCGCCCCCACAGCCCCCTGACCGCCCTCCCTGGACCCCCATGGTTGTCCACTCTCCTGTGTCCCTCAGGAACTCCAGCGACTTCTCTCCAATCCCACCCGACGGCTCTCTCTCATCACTGTGTGGGGCCAGCTCCCAGCTGACCAGATCAGGGCCCAAGGGTGCATCCGGGGGACCAGCATGGACAGCTTGGCCGCCAGCCGCCTGCTCTGGGTGGACCCAGGCCCTGCCCTGTGCTGGGAGCACAGGACGAGGCAGCACGGCCCTTGCTGACCTTGAGAGTACAGTCAGTGAAAACCGGCCAAGCCCCCCCCCCCCCGGGGGGGGGGGCCGCCCTCTCTGGTCCTGGGGGCGCAGTTGGGGTGTGAATGGGTGCTCCCCAACTCTGGGTGGGAGAGCTCAGGATCAGGGGACACGTTTTGGGGAGGCAGAGTGGACAGTCGCTGTGGAGCCAGGCTGGGAGGGCGGTGCCGTGCCCGCTCCGGCCGCACCCCGCCCGCAGGAGCGAATCACAGGGGGACGCTCGTGACCTAAGGAGTCAGCGCGGCCGAGACCCCGGGAGCTGCGCGGCTCGGGCGGACACCACGTGGACTCGGTCAGCACCGCTGTCCACGCGGAGCGGAACGTCAGGCTTGTCACGGCTCGGCGTGTCCCTCGCCTGCTTTCTCTCCTCTGCCTCCTCGCACGGCCTCCGGCCACTCAGTGCGGCGCACACACAGCTAGGCCCGTCCACGCGGCTCTGTGCCCCTCCCTCCACGCCGGCGCCTCGAGCTGTTTGCTCACCTGAGAAATGAAGCTAATAATAGCGGGGGCCCCTCAGGCGTGTCACGCACTTGTGCGGGTCTCCTGCCCCAAATTAGCCTGCGAAAGTAGAAGCTGTGGGTGCGTCAGGATTTCGGCAGAAAGCGGCACTCCCAGGGGAAAGTCCTCACCTCGGCCGTGGCCCCTGACATTTCCCCAGTGGCCCCCGGCGACGCAGAAGGACAGGACCCTCTGTGGGGACGGACCCTCTGAAGCCGTGAGTGGGCGCCGCCAGTGCGTGAGGGCGGGCAGGGGCCGCACACCGCGGGCGGGCAGGCTGGACGGGGCCGGAGCTCCCGGCTCAGGCTGGGCCTGAGCGGGCAGAGCTGGCTGTGGGTGGGTGGCCCGGAGCGAACTGCCAGGCACGTGGGGACCCGGTTTGGGGAGTGGCAGCAGCTGGCATGACCGAGCAGAAAAGATGGGCTTGATGGGCACTCTGGGGTGACGGCGGGGGCTCTGGGGCGCCAGGGCCGCTGTCGGCGGGGCCGGAGCTCCGCGCAAGGACCGCAGGACGGCAGGTGGGACCCTGCCCCGGGCCCTCCAGAGGTCCTGCGCCAACGGGCGGCAAACTGGCCTCCAGCTCCCCGGCTCCGGCAGGGTCCCCCGCGGTGTGCTAAGGAAGAGGACTCACCGGCCCCGCTCCCCCAGAATGGCGGGGCAGAGGTGCAGGTTGGCTGTGCCCCTGCTCCAGGCCGGTCCCCGCGTGCTGCACGGGGAGTCAGCGCTGCGCTCACCCCTGCGGGGCGGCCCCGGCCCCATCCAGCCTGGGCTCGGCCTTGTCCAGGCCCCTTTCCCTCCCCCGCGGTCAGGGCCCCAGGACGCACCTAGCTCAGGCCTCCAGGGCCAGTGAGCCGCCATGAGCAGAGCCCGGCACCCCGTATCTTTCCACCCCTGGGCGTCCGGGGAGCTCGGGGCAGCCCCGGCCTTGGCTCGACCCTCCAGCCAGCTGCGCTGCCAGAAACGCCGCCTCGCTCCTGGCCAGCGGCTGACCCCCCCGGCGGTCGCTGCGCCACTCCCGGCCCAGTGGTCCTGACCTGGTGTCCGCTCTAACCTCGCCAGACCCGCCCTCCAGCGTGACCCAGCCGCCGAGCAGACAGCCGACAGCCGGGCAGGTGGCCGCGCCCCGCGAGCGGAGAAGCCAGGCAGGCACCATGGAGGAAGGCTCGTACTCAGGTGAGGGCGCTGGGGCCGAGGCAGGACCGGGCTCCAGGCGGGAGCCTCGGGCCTGGCTGCAAAGGAGAGACACCCCAGGACGGGCGGGCGGCCGGGGGCGGAGACAGGAGCCTGCCCGGCCTTCCCAGCACACAGCCCTGGGAGCCAAGCCTCAGCCCCCTTCCCTGACTCCACACCCTCCCACAAAAAGAAGGCTCCAGACTGGCCCTGGAGCCAGAGCGAGGGGGAGCCCGGCTGGACGGGGCTCAGAGCACAGGGGCTCAGCATGGAGGGGCCTCCCAGCCAGGGGGGGCCCGAGGGGCCCGCCCTGGCAGTAGAGCACCAAGGTAGGGGCAGGCAGGGGCGGCGAGGATTGGGTGGCAGCAGGGTGAGCGCGGGCTCAGAGGGAGGAGGTCCCGCTGCCGAGGACTTGGGGGTGCGGGTGAACATAAAGGGGAGCAAAGTGGTAGGAGACTGGGGGGCCCTCTGAGCAGAGGTCGGCCCCCGACCGGCAGGGACGACAGAGGAGCTGGGCGCCGGGCTGGACGGGCAGAGGGTCAGACTCCAGGCCTGGGTGCGGAGGGGGGCGGGCGTGGGGGCCTCTCTTGGTGTGGGCTCTGGCCCGCCTGAGACCCCCCGGCCGGCGCCCCTCACCCTCCCCCGCCCTCGCCCGCAGAGGTCCCGGTGGAGCCCCCCCTGAGGCGGTGGCGCTGCGGCAGGCAGGGCGTGAAGCTGGCGCTGCTGGGGCTGCTGACGGCGGCGCTGTGGGCCGGGCTGCTGAGCCTGCTTCTCCTGTGGCGTGAGGACACCCCGAGTCTCGGGCTCCCTCCCCCGTCTCCCCACCGGGCCTCCCACCTTGTCCCTCGCAGCCCTCCAGCACCCTGAGGCCCCCGCAGCCCCACCCCCTTTTGGCTGGCCCAGTGGTGCTGCTGAGGTCCCGGCGTGGGCCCCGAGAGCCCTGCTGAGGTCCCGGCGTGGGCCCCGAGAGCCCTGCTGAGGTCCCGGCAGGTGGGCCCCGAGAGCCCTGCTGAGGTCCCGGCAGGTGGGCCCCGAGAGCCCTGCTGAGGTC